CACCATCAACAACAACATCATCATCATCATCATTATCATCATCAGCATCAGCATCAGCATCAGCATAAGCATCATCATCATCATCATCATCATCATCATCATCATCATTTTCATCATCACCATCATCATCATCATCATCATGAACATCAGAATCATCAATATCCTCATCCTCGTCCTCATCCTCATCCTCGTCCTCCTCCTCCTCCTTATCCTTATCCTCATCATCATCCTCATCGCCATCATCGTCAGCATCAGTATCATGATCATTATCGTCATCGTCATCATCAGCATATTCATCAATCTCAGCAGCAACATCATCATTACCACCATCATTAGCATCAGCATCATCGCCATCATCACAATCACCATCACCACCATCATCATCACCATCATCAGCATCATCATCAGCATCATCAGCCTCATCATCATCATCATCATAATCACCATCGTGTTCATCATCATCATCATCAGCAGCAACAGGTTCTCCATCATCATCATGCTCATCATCATCAGCAGCATATAATCGACAGCATACTCATCATCAGCATCACCATCATCATCATCATCATCATCATCACCAAGATCATCCTCATCATCATCATGTTCATCATGATCGTCATCGTCATCGCCATCGTCACCACCATCAGCATCATCATCAGCAGCATCATCATCAGCATCATCATAATAAGTTTCAGCATCAGCATCAGCATCATCATCATCATCAGCATCAGCAGAGTTACCATCATCATCATCATCATCATCATCATCATCATCATCATCATCATCATCATAATCATCATCACCATTATAATCATCTTCATCATCAGCAGCAGCATCATCAGCAGCAGCATCGTCCTCACGTGCATCCTTATCTTCAACGTCATCGTCATTACCATCAACACCTCCGCATCCAGGCATATAGGATTTACGCTCGCGGCGCGCGGCTCGGCTCCTAGGACGTCTGCAGATACAGACCTCCTGGCGGGTCTGGGGAAACGCCCCAAACCTCGAGCCACCAAACGCAGCGGCATTGGGCGCGGTCGGGCCTGCTTCGCCTGCTCCTCTTTCTTCTCCTCCTCGTCCTCCTCCTCCTCATGTTTTTCCTCGTCATCCTCGCCCTCGTCCTCCTCATGTTCTCCTCTTCCTCTTATTCCCTCGTTTCCCCCCCCTCTCTCCGTCGTCACTCCCCCCATCCCTCCCTCCCCTCCCCTCGCCGTCGTCTTGTCTCCGCCCGTGGGAGGGCTCCGATGCTGGCTCCTCGCACAGGCTGGCTGCGCGGTGCTTCGCCACGCGGCGCGCCAGGACTGGGCCGGGCAGAGCCTCCCTGCGTCGAGCTCCGCGGGCCCCCGCTCGGGTCATCTCCCCCTCTCGCGCGCTCGGCTGCCATCGCCCACGTGTGCCCTGGAAGGCTGTGTCGGACCGCTCCGGCCTCCCCGAGAGCCACTCCCCCGAGGGTTCTTGGGGGTGCGGGGTCTTTGCGGGGTGGGTGGCGGTGGGGAGCTCTGGAACCCAGGGGGCCGGCTTGGGCACGACTCTCGGCAGCCGACGGGTCGGCCCATGCTGGGGGGCGGTCTCTCTGAGCTCGCTGCGATGCTGGTCCGTCGTGGGGGTCCGCGGGAGCGCAGCGGCGCCCGGGGCTCGGTCAGGCTCGGGCATCCCGGCGTCGCCTTCCGCCCAGCAGTCGTGCTGAGAAGAACGTGCCCGCGGACCCACACACGATCCGCAAAGGTCACAGGGGTCTAATTGATGAACGAACCAACCTCCTTCCGCACATCCACCCCTCCTCCCGCCCCACCCCCCAACCCCATCCATCCCGTCCCTCCCTCCTGCGGTCATCCTCCCTCCCCCTCACCCCTCTGTTCCTCCTCCTCCGCCTGCGCCTCTTCCTTTTCGGCTGACGGGAAGGGGACGAGGGAAGAGGCTCTCGGCTCTGTGTGTACGTATGCGTGTGCGTGTGCCTGCGTGTGCGTGTGCCTGCGTGTGCGCGTGCCTGTGTGCGTGTGCCCGTGCGTGCGGTTGTGTAAATAGATGTTCTGGGTATTCTGCCGTGCTCCTGCGTGTTATGCCGTGTTCCTATGTGTTCTGCCGTGCTCCTGTGTGTTCTACCATGATCCTGCTCTGCCGTGCTCCTGTGTGTTCTGCCGTGCTCCTGTGTGTCTTGCCGTGCTCCTGTGTGTTCTGCCGTGCTCCTGCTTGTTCTCCCGTGCTCCTATGTGTTTTGTGTGATCTGCCGCGCTCCTGTGTGCTCTGCCGAGCTCATGTGTGTTCTGCCGTGCTCCTATGCATTGTGTGTTCTGCCGTGCGCCTCGTGCTCCTGCGTGGTCTGCCGTGCGAGTTCTGTCGTACTACTGCGTGTTCCGCCGCGTGTTCTGCCGTGCTCCTGCGTGCTCTGTCGTGCTCCTGTGTGTTCTGCCGTGCTCCTGCTTGCTCCGCCGTGCTCCTGTGTGTTTTGTGTGCTCTGTCGTGCCCCAGTGTGTTCTGCCAAACTCCTGTGTGTTCTGCCGTGCTCCTATGTGTTATGTGTTCTGCCGTGTTCCTCGCGCTCCTGTGTGTTCTGCCGTGCTCCTGTGTGTCCTGCTTTGCTCCTGCGTGTTCTGCCATGCTCCTGTGTGTTCTGTGCGTTTGCCGTGCTCCTGCGTGTTCTGCCATGCTCATATGTATTGCGCTCCTCGTGCTCCTGTGTGTTCTGCCGTGCTCCTGTGTTAAAGTTAAAATTAAAGACGGGGCCTTAAAGGCAAAGTGCAAACACACGGACAGGGCCAGACGTGACCCGCGGTCCCGAGAGACGCCGAGTCCCAAAAGGCACCGAGGGCGGCGGAAGCCTGCTCCCAAATGGAGCAGCAGGCGCGAGCCACAGCGATGCAACCTTTCACTCACTCACTCACGGACAGGCCGCCACGGTGTGCCACGCGGCGGCGTATCCTGCGGCCCTCCAGGGCTCCGCCCGCAGGGCCAGCCGCGGCGGCGAGCTCATCGGCGACCCCGAGCTCGCCGAGGCCCCCCTCTCTCGCAGCAGCAGGGCGCCGCTTGGGCAGGCCGGCGGCGGCCGCCGCGCCGGCCGCATCCGAGGAGCCTCCTCCTGGGTCCGCAGCCTCTCGCGGCTCAGCAGCTGCCGCTGGGGCGCTGCCTGCACTGCCCGCCGTGGCCGAGGGGTCTGCAGCTGGCTCCGCTGCAGTACCAAGCCACTCCAGGTACCGCTCCTGCGCGTGCTCTGGCACTGGACCTTGCGAACGCAGCGTAGGGATGTCCTCTCCTTTCACTCTGTGCCTGGCAGCTCGTGACCCCTCCTGCCTCCTGCCTCCAGGATGGAGTCCTCGTAGCCACAGGCTGCGCTGGCCCCTGCCGCCCTTGTCGGTTTTGTCGCCTGGGCACCGCTCCTTGAGGCGAGGCTTAACCCCTGAGCGGCCGCCCAGCGTCATGTAGGCGCCACACTTGGAGCACGCCACGAGCTCCTGTGTGTCCTCACCTTCTCCAGCGCAGGCGTAGGACAGGGCATGTCCCAGGATGCTGAAGGCTACTGCACTGGCCGAACGGGCTGCCGAGCTGTTGCCTGTCGAACGGGCGCTCTCCAGGCGCGGCCGCTCGGCCGACGGCCCCTCGCCCCTGGCCTCCTCCGTTGCCTGAGACCTCTCGGCGTCAGCGAAACGCGCCCGGCGCTGCTCGGCAGCAGGAGGGGGCCCTTCGCCGTCCCAGGCCTCGAGGCCTTGCCCGAGGATGACGGCCCACCAGATCCATCGCCCGAGTTCCTGCACGAACCCTGCCTGCGCCTGGTGCACGCCAACGGTCCGCTTGTCCACTGCATGCGTCTGGGCCCTCCTCACGGCAAGGCGGCCTGCGTGCTCGTTGCCGCGCCTCTGGGCCTCCGCCAGGCGCCCGTCGAGCACTGCATGCCTCGAACAGGCGATGTTGACCTCCTCCACTGCTGGCCTTGCGAGGGCGGCGAGCATCCAGGCCGCTACGTCCTCGCCGTCCTTGGCCGTCCGCTGCGGGCAGCGGTCGCCCCCGACTGCGCCGTAGACCTCTGCCACCAGGTTGCCGTCGCCGTCGCGGTGCGCTGCGGCTCCGCCCTCACAGCGCCAGGCGCCGAACAGCGGCTCGAGCGTCGCGCCGTCAAGGTACAGCTTGCCGGTGAGCTTCTCATCGGATGGCCTGCGGACACCACGCACCCCCATGGCGTCGGTGCGGCGACCCTGCGGTGGCCAATGCGCAGGCAGCCAGCGGCCTCTGCACCGCTGGGCCTCGTGCACAGGGCCGCCGTGCCGGCGGTGCCACAAGGTGCCTCTCACTGCTCCACAGCAGCGTGCTTGCCCCTGTTCCCGTGCATCGAGGAGCCTGGCCTGCGCCCAGTGCGGGTTGGAGATGCGGGCCCCCCGCAAGCAGGTGCCGTGGCTGAGCTTCCGCGTCTCGTGGCGAGAGGATGCACTTCGAGCGCCTGGGCCAGCCTCCCATCCCAGCTCCTGAGGCCCGAGGTGCCTGAGGTCGAGCTCGTCGCCGAGGTCCGCGATCATGCACCGCTCGGACTTGAAGAACCAGTCGATCCTCGCACGGGTCAGCATCTCCGCGTCGATGGGGGAGGCGCAGTGCTTCCATGGCCCGTCAGTTCTAGCGTGCCTGGTCCCCGCCGCCTCCAGCCCCCGCTCCATCATCATAGGCGGCAGCTCGCCTGCCTGCAGCAGGCCTGCCTTCATCTGGACTGCGTGGCCTGCCCTGAGGGCTGCAGGGTCCAGGTTACGCCTCCTCCTGAGCTCGCCATATCGCATGCGCAGCCCTCGCTCTGCGCCCATGGGGGGCGCTCCTGCGCTGCGACTGGCCGCCAGCTGCCAACTGTGCAGCTCGCCGTCCGCGTTGCCCACGACCGTGCGCCTGCACATCTCGCTGGCCGTGGGCGCAGCCATGTGGATCGGGTCCAGCCTGCGCGCTCTACGAAGCACTCCTGCAGCTCGGGCTCTGCCCCCATGCGCTCCCCACTTCGCGCTGGCGGGGTCCGAGCAGAGGTTCCTGGCCTTCAAGGTCTCGCAGAGGGTCCCGCCTGGAGACTTCCCGCACGTCCCGAGCTAGCATCCTGGGCTGGGGCTCGGAGCGAGGAAGGTCGTCTTGGCAGCACTGAGGGGCAGGTGCTGACCGCGGAGGCGGCGTACCACTCCCAGCCCTGCTCCGCCGAACCACGCGGCCACCAGCTGCTCCGCACCCACGGCCTGCAGCGCGATGTCGCCGTCGACGTTGCGGGCCACACCCAGCGTCCTGCCGCCCGCTGGGGCGGCGCGGAGGGTTGCCAGCCCAGGCGGCTTGGCCACAGTGCGGCTACACGCGCACCCCGCCAAGCCTGTCCCGTAGGTGCTGAACGTCTCGGTGGCCATGCCCACGACGGGAATGAACCGCGGTCTCTGGTAGAGCACCGAGTCGCCGAAGGCAGCGAAGCTGTCGAGGTTGAAGCCGTGCTCCTGTGTTCTGATGTGCTCCTGTTTGTTCTGCCATGCTCCCGTGTGTTCTTTGGGTTCTGCCGTACTCCTGTGTGTGTTGCCGTGCTCCTGTGTGTTCTGCCGTGCTCCCGCGCGTTCTGCCGTGTTTTTGCGTGTTGGTCTGCCGTGATCCTGCCCATGTTCTGAAGATGTCTCAGGCGGAAAGCTTAGTTTTAACATGCATGGTCTTAAATCAACCTGTTCAACATCTCAGTCTGTCGAGGATGTCTCAGGCGAGATCCTCATTTCCATACGTTTGTGAAATTCGCTGTTTCATGTTCTGGTAGATGTCTCAGGCGAAATGCTTGTTGTTGTGAAAGACGGTGTTGCGAACAACTCATGTGTCTAGCACGTATCGAGCGAAATGCGAATGTTGAGGAAGCTCGAGGGCGCTCTGGGGGTCATGTTGGGGCTCTTTGGGGCTCGTTCGGGGCCGTTTCGATGCCATAAAAAAACGATGCCAATGCGATGTCACACACATCTCCTTTGTGAGGATGTCTCTAGCGAAATCGTCATGTTTAGAAGCCTGGCTTGGGCCGGCTGGAATCCGTTTCAAGAGCGATCCCAAGACGATATTAGAACAGCAGTTGTCAAAACGATGCTGTTATAGTGTTTCATGTGTTGAGGATGTCCCTAGCGAATCATTTTCCGCAGTCGTCAGGGCGCTCTTGGAGCCAAATTGAGGTCCTTTTTGGGGCTCTCATTTCTTCATCTCGAAGCACTTCAAGAACGATGTCAAGACGATGTTGAGAAGATCTCATTTGTTTGAGGATGTCCCCAGCGACATGCACATGTTCTGCCGTGCTCTTTTTCCTGATCCGCCGTGCTGCCGCTAATTTTCTGAGGAAGTCCCTAGCGAAAACGTAATTTTCGACATAATAGGTAATAATACACCTCCGTCGACACCTCATTTGGGCTAGGATGTCTCAGGCGAAACGCAAATTATTACAGATTAGTGAATTTCGCAGATCTCAATTGTTCGAGGATGTCTCGAGCGAAACGCTTGTTTTCGTTCAACGCGATGTCGCGAAGATCTCACTTGTGTGAGGATGTCTCCGGCGAAATCGCTGTTTGGGGGGATTCGCTAACCCTCGCTCCCGTTGCACCCGCCACCCTCTATGAATTCGCCGGCCCAACGGGCCAGAGGCGTGCTAAGATCTCCGGTAACTGCTCTACAATGTTTCTACTTCGCGCGCGCGGGGCGGCCCCTGGGGGTCCCCAGACGAAAAGTACCCCGAGGTCCCCGGCAAGGTCCCCGGCAAGGTCCCCGCAAGGTCGGGCCAGAGATGCCGGAGCCCTGTTACAGGGCCCCAGGACGGGCCAAGAGGCCCCCAAGAAGCCTCCAAGACGGTCCAAGAGGGCCCCGAGACGGCCAAAGATCGCCCGAAGACGCCCAACAGGGCCCCAAGACAGCCCAAGAGGCCTCCAAGACGCCCCAAGGGCCTTCCAAGAGGCCTCCGAAGAGGGCCCCAAGAGGCCAAAATCGTTGATTTTCATTGTTTTTTTATGTTTTTTGCGTTCTGGCTTTTTCGGCTTCCGGACGCTCCAAGACGGCCCAAGAGGCCCCCAAGACCGCTCCAAGACGGCCCACGAGGCTCCCAAGACGGCCCCGGAACGGCCCAGGAGGGCCCCCAAGACGGCCCAAGTGCCGCCCAAGACGGACCAAGAGGCCCCAAGACGGGCCCAAGAGGGGCTCAAGAGGGGAACCGAGAACTGAAAAATCGAGCCCTCCGCCCCAGAAGGCGCCCAGGAGGCCCCAAAAAGGCCCCAAGAGGCCCCCAAGAGGCCCCCAAGACGCCCCAAGAGGCCCAAAAGAGGCCCAAAAGAGGCCCCAAGAGGCCCCAAAACGGCCCCCAAGAAGCCCCAAAACTCGGCTAGCCCACAACTGTGCGACAATATGGGCCGGCGGAATGAGCGAAGCGATTAAATAAGATTTTACATGTTGCCGATTCAGCCACAATGTCCAGCTCTCTTCTCGTACCTCGAAGACGCTTCCCGTCATCCGCTAAGCCTGTCCCCCATGCAGCCCGCCATCCCCCTATTAGTAAGAGATTTTTAGATATGTCGCAGACTCAGTCACAACGTCCAGCTTGCTTCTCGTACCTCGAAGACGCTTACCATCATCCGCCGGCCCTCTTGTGGGGCCATCACCCTGCGGGGGTTAGGCTTGCTGCTCTCTGCTCCAGTTCCAGTTTCAAGTCTCCAACGTTGGAGTACTGCTTTGTGCTTCCTACTGTAAATTGTTTCTAGACCGCGCGAGGAGGGGGAGCCCAGGAGGAACGTTTTACCTTTTCCCCCGGGGTTCTCAGAATTCCTGGGGGGCGTTGGACACGTAAAAATATTCGTGTCATCGAGGCCACCCACAATCCCTCGTAAATTGCATAGGTTCCGCGATCTCGAGGCCACTATCGCTCGTAAAGGCCCCCCAGACGGTCGAAGAGGCCTCTAAGACGTCCCAAGATGGCTCCAAGGCGCAAGATGGTTCCAAGACAGCCCAAGAGAGCCCCAAGAGGCCCCAAGAGCGCTCCAAGAGCACCCCCATGAGGGGCCAAGAAGCCAAAATCAATGAATTCCCTTAGGTTTGGCCCGATTTTCGCATGCTCGCCTTTTCGGGCTCCCAACGCTCCAAGACGGCGCAGGAGACTCCCAAGATCGCTTCAAGACGGCGCAAGAAGCGCCCAAGAGCGCCCCAAGACGGCCCAAGAGGTCCCCAATACAGCCTCAAGACGGCCCAAGAAGGCCCTAAGACGGCCCAAGACTCCCGAAACGGCCCAAAAAGGCCCCAAGACGCCCTCAAGAGGGGCTCAAGAGGGGGGACCCGAACCGAAATTCCCGGCCCTCCGCTCCAAGAAGCCCCCAGGAACCCCCCAAGAAGCCTCCAAGAGGCCCCCAAGAGGCCCCAAGAAGCCCCCAAGAGGCCCCAAGAGGCCCCAAGAGGCTCCAGAACTGCCCCCAAAAGGCCTCCTGCTTCCAAGAGGCTTCCCAAGCCACTCCAACACATATACGAGAGGCCTCAGATCCACTGTCCCGGCAAGGACGTGCTCAATAATCACGCCAGCGTCTCAATGTGTGTTGCTGCTTCCTATCCGCCCTCGAATGATGCAACCAGATGTCTCGGACGGCGCCCAAAGGCACCGAAACGACTCCAACAGATCCGATCATGATAGAGAGGGAGCCGGCGGCTGGGGGCGAAGTCCTTGAGGACAAGCCCTTGCATAGCACTCTGTATTCGGGTCACTGCAGCCACAATCCTGAATAAAGTGTGCAGCGCGTGCGTCCACAAGGTCATAGCCCTTCGCAAATTACACGAGATCTGCGCCCCCTAAACCATAAACCTTTTTGCAAATTACATCAAATTCGCGACCTCGAGGCCACGATCACCCGTGAGTTACAGATTACTTGCGCCCCCGAAGCCATAAACCCTTGTACAGAATACAAGAGTTGTGTGCCCGAAGCAATATCCTTCGAGATGTAATCAATATTTGTATGCCCGAGGCCACACCTGTCGCAGATGACGCAATATTCGCATCCTCGAGGTCACGACCCAACCTAAATGACATAGTACTCGCGTCCCCGCACCCACGATCCCTCGCACATTACGCCATATCTGCGTCCTCGAAGTCACGACCCCTCTTCAAGTTACACCATAGTCACGCCCCGAGACCACGATCCCTCGTACATGACGCCCTCTTCGCGTCCCCGAAACCACGATCCTTCGCACAGTACGCTATGTTCGCGCCCTCGAGGCCACGATACCTCGTAATGCTTGCAATATTCGCGTCCCTATGATCATCACCCCCATCATTAATCTCGTTGTCGTCGCCCTCACCATCACCATCACCATCACCATCACCATCATCATCATCATCATCATCATCATCATCAGCAGCAGCAGCAGCAGCATCATCACCATCACCATCACCATCTCACCACCAGCGCCCGCAGCAGCATCATAAGCAAGATCTCCATCACCATCATCATCGGCGTCAGCATCAGCATGTCTTCAAGACGGCGCCAACACATCCTGATATCTCTATCGCGCATCCTGGTATCATAGAAAGAGGCGTCATCATCATCATCACCTTCATCATCATCATCATCATCATCATCATCAGCAGCAGGAGCGTCATAATCGGAACCACCGCTCTCATCGTCTTCGTTAGCGTGCTCGTCAACGTCATCATCGTCGTAATCAGCATCGCCATCATCATCATCATCATCATCATCATCATCATCATCATCATCACCATCATCATCACCATCATCATCGTAATCAGTATCACCAGCATCAGCATCATCAGCAGCAGCATCATCGTCGTCGTCAGCATCATCATCATCATCATCAGCAGCATCATCATCATCATCATCATCGTCATCATCATCATCATCATCATCGCCAGAATCATAAGCAGCAGCATCATCATAATCGTAATCGCCATCCGCCTCGTCTTCGTCAGCGTGCTCGTCATCGTCATCATCGTCATAATCAGCATCGCCATCATCATCATCATCAGCAGCATCATCATCGTCCTCAGCATCATCGCCAGGATCATCATCATCATCATCACCATCATCATCAACAGCAACACCACCGTCGTCGTCGTTGTCATCGTCATCATGTCCAGCATCAGGAACCTCATCATCACCATCACCGTCATCATCGTCATCTTCATCGTCATCGTCAGCACCATCATCATCATAATCAGCATCATGGGTATCATCAGCAGCAGCATCCGAATAAACATCATCAGCGACAGCGACATCAGCAGCAGCCTCACCATCAGTATCATCAACATCATCAGCAGCAGCACCATCATCATCATCATCATCATCATCAGCAGCGTCATCAGTGTCATCATCGTCGCCGTCAGCATCATCATCATCATAAACATCAGCAGCATCATTATCGCAATCACCGTCCTCATCGTCTTCATCAGCGTGCTCGTCATCGTCCTCATCGTCATCATCATCGTCATCATCATCATCACCAGCACCATCATCATCACCATCACCAGCGACATCACCATCATCAGCAGCAGCAGCGGCAGCATCACAATCATCGTCGTCATCGTCATAAAATTCATCATCAGCAACCTCATCATCACCATCACCGCCATCAGTGTCATCTTTATCGCAATCATCATCATCATCATCATCATCACCACCATCAGCATCATCATCAGCATCAGCATCATCACGGGTATCAGCATCGCAGCATGAACACTGAAATCGGCAGCAACATGAACAGCATCAGCATTATCAGCATCATCAGCATCATCGTCACCATCCGCCTCCTCCTCACCTCGGCAATCGCGCTCTCCGTCTTCTTGGCGCGCATCGACCCAGTGCGGCCGCGAAACCGCCCGGGTGGCCAACCCAGTCTTGCAAGGAGAGCGGCGGGCGGATGGAGGAGGAGGAGGAGGAGGAGGAGGAGGGGGAGGGGGAGGAGGAGGAGGAGGAGGAGGAGGAGGAGGAGGAGGAGGAGGAGGAGGAGGAGGAGGAGGAGGAGGAGGAGGAGGAGGAGGAGGAGGGGGAGGGGAGGGAAGGGAGAGTGAGAAGGAGGGGGAGGAGGAGGAGGGAGAGGGGAGGAGGAGGAGGAGGAGGAGGAGGAGGGAGGAGGAGGAGGAGGGAGAAGGGAGGAGGGAGGAGGGGGAGGAGGAGGGGGAGGAGGGGAGGAGAGAGGAGGAGGAGGAGAGGAGGAGGGGAGGAGGAGAGGAGGAGGAGGAGGAGGAGGGAGAAGGAAAGAGAGGGGAGGGGGAGGAAGGGGGAGGGGGAGGAGGGGAGGAGGAGGAGGAGGAGGAGGAGGAGGAGGAGGAGGAGGAGGAGGAGGAGGAGGGAGAAGGAAGGGGAGGGGGGGGGGGGGGGAGAAGGGGAGGGGGAGGGGGAGGGGGAGGGGGGAGAGGAGGGGGAGGGGGAGGAGAAGGAGGAGGAGGAGGAGGAGGAGGAGGAGAAGGAGAGGAGGAGGAGGAGGAGGAGGAGGAGGAGGAGGAGGGGGAGGAGGAGGAGAGCACCGCCGAGAGGATCAGAGCAGGCCGAGCCGAGACAGCGGCAGCCCAGACTCGGCCCCCGGACCCTCTCTGGGCTCCCCGCGCGCGCCCGTTTCTCGCGCTGCCTTCCAGCCGTGGCGACGAGGGGATCCCCCCAAGGCCCACTATATTTAAGTCGGGCCTGTCCCCCTACAGGGGGACTTCGGACGAAAAAAAAAACTCAAAAAAGATTCAAATAATGCCCAAAAATGCTCAAAAAATAGTCCCCAGACTATTTTTTTGACTATTTTTGGACATTCCCCCTGTAGACGGACAGGCCCGGCTTAACACTATTTAGCGGACTCGCAGATGGGGTCCGGGTAGTTAGATGTCGGCGGCGAGCGAGGGGGGGAACTGCGAAGGAGAAGGCCTTCTCAAAGGCGGCGGGACTTCTCAAAAGCCCTCGCGTCTTCTGGGAGTTTGTTCTGTCTTCGGGGAAGGCTCCGAAAATTTCTCAGAAGGCCGGGGGACTTCCGAGCCTTCTGAGAAGGCCCGCCCCTTCTCACTTCCCCGCCTCGCTCTCCGCCAAGCATTGCCAATGCATCGCCGATACATTGGCGATGCTTCGGCGACGTCGGCGATACATCGGCGCCGTCGGCATGGAGAAGACCAAGCACTACATCGAGCTGCATCGCCGATGCACAGGCGATGCAGCGCATTCCTCCTACCCCTTCTATACTCGGACCCCATCTGGGAGGCCTCGAAACTACTGTTGTGTCAGATCGCCCTCCTCTGCGAGGAAGCACCTGGCACTGCAAGACCAAGATCGGAGAGACGGAAGACTCGGGTTCGGGGGGACTCGGGTTGGCCTGACGGGGCCGCCGGGGAAACGACGAGGCCCGGTCTGAGATCTGGCGCGACCTCCCCCCGCGAGCACCCCACGAAAGCTGGACCGTCAAAACTCGGGACGGACCCGTGCAGAGGTGTCGGCAAACTCGAGCTTCGCCGAGCTCGAGTCCTGCGCTTCCCCGACAAGACGGGGGGGGGGAGGGCTGCCGAGAGCCGCCCGCGCGGCTGGAGCAGCGGGGCCCTCCGCGGCAGCGGGGCCTCTTCGGCCGGGGGCGCCGCTGCCCCGCTGCCGCGGCGCGCCTCGGGCACTGCAGGGGCGCGACGCCCGCGAGGAGCGGCCCTCGCCCGCGGCGGCGGGCCGCCGACCAGCCACGGCTCGGGGGGCTGTGCTCCTCGCAGCAGGCTCGTGTCGTGACGACCCAGGCGCCGGGGTTCCTGAGACCACGCGGATCGTTCCACCCTGGGCGGTGGGCGGCCTCTCCACGGCCAGAGCGCTCCGTACTGGCGGATTCTGGGTTGCTGGCGGCGCTCAACCCTGAACGCTCGCGGCGGCGCCGCCGCACCGCTGGCACGGCACGAGTCCACGGTGCACCCGTGGAGAAGCCCATCGTATCGACGACCTCCCGAGACAGGTGTCGAAGCGGCGACGGGTTCCCACCGGGGGGGTTAGGACCACAGCCCCCCAATTGCGGCGCGTCTGTGCAGGGATCAACGGCGGCGAGCAAGGGGGGAAATGCGAAAAAGACGGGTTTCTCTGAAGGCGGCGGGACTTCCCAGAAGCCCTCGAACCTTCTGAGAAGTTTTGTGCGTTTTCAGGGAAAGCTTAGGACATGTTTCGGAAGGCCAAAGGACTTCCGAGCTTTCTGAAGGGGCCTTCTCCTCTTCACTTCCCCCACTCGCTCGCCGCCAGATCAGGTTCAGGGCACTCGGGCGATGCGGCGGTTGCGCGCATCGGCCAGGGCGCGACGGGTGAACTCGTGCACGCCCTCGTGCACCCATTTCTTGTTAGGGTGAACCATCTCCGAGGGCACGACGCCGTGGATAGGCAGCGACTGGAGGATGAGAAGAGGAGGAGGGCAGGAGAAGGATGAGCAGCAGGAGAATGCTGAGCTGGCCCGGCAAGAAAGTGAAAGTTGGGAATCGCAGAAGATGGCTGAAGAGGACGAAGAAACACAAAAAACGAAGCAACGATAACACACAAACTGAACAAACAAAAAACAAGCACACCCTCTCTCTCTCACACACACACACCAAAAACGCACGCAAACATAAAAATAGCAGACGTAGCACCCCGCAATTGCGGATAAGAGTGAGGGGGCGGGCGCGGGCGACGCGGGCGTCGTCAAGCCGGCGGACCTCGTGGCCCCCACCTTCCCTGTCGATGGCGCTGTCCTTCTCCCCCTCCTCCTCCTCCTCCTCCTCCTCCTCCTCCTCCTCCTCCTCCGCCTCCTCCTCCTCCTCCTCCTCCTCCTCCTCTTCCTCGTCCTCGTCCTCGTCCTCATCGTCATCGTCGTCCTCCTCCTCCACCTCGTCCTCCTCCTCCTCCTCCTCTTCTTCCTCGTCCTCCCTCTCCCCCCCTCGTCCTTCCATCATCGTCCTCCCATTGTCGTCATGTTCCTCCTCGTCGTCCTCCTCCTCTTCCCCCCCTCCCGATCCTCCCCCCTCCTCCTTTTTGTCGTCGTCGTCGACGTCGTCGTCGTCGTCGTCGTCGTCCCCTTCCTCCCCCTCCTCCTCCTCCTCCTCCTCCTCCTCTTCCTCCTCCTCCTCCTCGTCCTCCTGCAAAAGCAGCCCGCCGCAGGCGCCGAAAAATTTGGTTTGTACACTGAACGTGGTTTGGGTCGCTGGTGGGCCGCGGGTTCTCCACCAGGAACGAATGCAAAAGATGCCCGCCGCAGGCGCCGAAGAAATTGGTTTGTACTTTGAACGTGGTCGCGGGTGGGCTGCGGTCTCTCCACCTAGAACGAATGCAAAAGATGCCCGCCGCAGGCGCCGAAAAATGTGGTTTGTACCCTGAACGTGGTTTGGGTCGCGGGTTGGTCGCGAGTTGGTCGCGGCGTGGGTCGCGGGCTCTCCACCTGGAAGGAATGCAAAAAAAACCCGCCGTAGGCGCCGAAAATGTTGGTTTGTACCTTGAACGTGGTTTGGGTCGCGGGTGGGTCGCGGGTGGGTCGCGGGGTGGGTCGCGGGTGAGTCGCGGGTGGGTCGCGGGTGGGTCGCGGGTGGGTCGCGGGTGAGTCGCGGGGTGGGTCGTGAGGTGGGTCGCGGGTGGGTCGCGGGTGGGTCGCGGGTGGGTCGCGGGATGGGTCGCGGGGTGGGTCGCGGGGTGGGTAGCGGGGTGGGTCGCGGGTGGGTCGCGGGTGGGTCGCGGGTGGGTCGCGGGTGGGTCGCGGGGTGGGTCGCCGGTGGGTCGCGGGTGGGTCGCGGGTGGGACGACGACAACAAACAACAACAACAACAAACAACAACAACAACAACACGAATCCGCACCGCGGAATCCCACTTCAGCCACGCACCCAGGGACAGTGAATGACCGTTCGGCCCCCTCACTCTGACCAAAAAAAAAACATAACAACCACACACACACACACACAAAAACAAACACACAAAACACGAACAAACACCGAACAGCAAACGACCAGCACGATTTGCATCTGCTTACAAAGGGGAAGAAGAAAAAGAAAAGAGAAAACAATCAGAAGGGAGTATCACAAACAACAACAAAAAAAACACCTCCTCGAATGGCCCTACAAGCGGCGCGATGACAGTAGAAGAAAGGGTGACATTGATGCCTCTTTTACGGGTGGCGGAGACGGGGGCCCTGTAGCGCAGGGGCCCGAGCCACTCCCAGGAACTCGACGCCCCCCTTTATCGATGAGAGTGGGTCACCAAAGGAAAGGGGCGAATGCACCGAGGCGCGGGGGCGCCGTCCCCTGGGGCCCCCCCACGGACGCCGGCAGCGTCGAGGCCCGCCAGCCGCGCCTCGCGCCACTCGCCACATCACTCAGGCATCGCCCCACCCCCGCTGCCGCGCAGCGCCGCGCACTGGGAACATAAGACCCCGCGCTGGGCTCCCACCCCGAAAAGGTCACGCGGGGCCCAGCGCGCCGCGCCGCCGCCCCCCGCTCGGCCCGCGCGACGTCGCCCACGAGATGTCGGGCGACGCCGTCACCGCGGCGCTGGGCTGGGCGCGCGCGCCCGCGACCCCCCTGGGCGCGCCCCGCCGCGGGCGCCCTGCCCGCGGCGCCCGCCCGGCCCTTCGACGATCAACTCGGCGAACCCCCAGGAGGCCTGCATCATCTCGTCGAGCACATCTCACTCCAGGTCCGCGGCCGCCACGTGGATCCTGAGGGACTCGTCGAAGGCCGACGTCTTCGCGCGGCTGAGACCGCACCCCCGCCCCGCTTCTCCTCGCGCGGCACCCGCTCTAGGTTCAGTGCCATCTCGCGCAAACCCTGCTCCTCCGACATCTCGATGGGACGGCCGTCAACAGCCGCTTGGTCGACGTGGCCCTGTACACCGCGCATGCGTTCCCTTGGCCGTCCGTCGACCACGTCATTCTGAAGTTCGCCCTCTGGCGGCGCCCCCCGGGCATCGCGAACAGCTTGACACGGAGGACCGCGCCAAGGAGCTCGAGCGACGCGACAACCTCGTTGGGGCCGTTTGCCATGGCCCACGCCAAAGGGAAACGCACTCCTCCTCAACCTCGAGCGCGCACGAGCGAGCCCCTCGCGCGCTGCCGTTCGGCGGTGCTTCCCAGCCGCCGACCCAGCTGCGCCCTCTTTCCGCCTTCACATCCGAACAGGAGTGCGCGGCGCTCTCGGCTTTGGACTTGATGGGCTACTCCAGCCTTTGACCACTGCCCAAGCGCTTGCCAGCCCAAGTCTGCACGAGCCTGGTCGCCACTGGCAGGGAGACCCTCCCCTTGCCTGTCTTCGCGACGCCAGCGAGCCAGGCACGCACCGGCCCCGGAAGCGGCTTCTCACAGGCCAGGGCCATGGCCGCAAGGCCCAGGCGACCCAAGCCCGATGCCAGCTCGCCAACGCGGATGGCGCCGCGCTCGACCGCCCCCTTGCACAAGGCTGCCCCTAAGCCGCCCTCGCCTCAGAGAGGCCCACTCCCCCGCGGTGCACTTGGCGCGGTCGCAGTGGAGGCCGGCCCAGCCCACCTCGAGGCCGCCCTGCGCCTTGACCCTCTGCAATGGGAAAGCGAAGACGCCGAGTAAGACGCCAATGAAAGGCGTTTCCAATCGCCCTCGTTTCCTCACACCAGTCGCCTCCAAGTCGCTGGCATAAGCGAGCTCTTCCACTAGCCAGTCGTCTCCCAACAGGCAGAAGATCGCCCGCAGCGCGGCACCGAATAGCCTGGCCCGCCATCCCGAGGCGCTGGAAATGCCGAAGGTGCCCACGATGTTGCCGCGCACCTCGACCTCAAACTCGCAGGCCGGCACGCCCCACTCGCCCTCGCGGATCTCGACAAGCCGATGCGCGCCCTTGACGTCGGCGACGAGTGAGCAGATGGCCTCGCGCCGGTCCTCGCAGTTGCTCTGGAGGTAATCCTTCTCTGCAGGCGTCGGCATCCTCTGTCGGGTCTGCCATCGAATCCAGCGGCTCACGGAGACCTCGCGCGCGCCCTCGTGGACGAGTCTCGTCTTGCCGCCCGCGATTTCCAAGACTGCCAACGCCGCTACGGCGTCGTCGTCGTGGACGGGGTTGCGCGGCAGCTCCGTGGACATCTTGATCACCCTGCCCGTCTTCACCTCATCCGCGAGGTGCCCTCGGAGCCGGTCGATTTTGTCTTCCACGTTGCTGTAGTTGGCTGCATCTGGGGCGGCCCAATGGGCCGACTCCTGGTCGAGGCGCCACTTCGCGAGTTCCTCGTCGAGTTCCTCCTGCCGGGGCATCTCGCGCAGCGCGCCCGCCGTAGCTCCCGCCTCCAACTCCTTCGTCAACTACTCCGCGTCTGGGCCCCCCCCCCCACACACCCCACGCTTGCACCGCCAATGGCCCTGCGCGAAGCAGGCGCGCGCGCGAAGGAAGCTGCACTTCTTAGCTCCAGGTCACACATGGCCATCTGGGAATTGCACGTGAAGCAAATCCCCCAACCGCCTGGCATCTGCGAGGCTGGGCCCGCGCCCTGGTCGGGCGCCCGGCCGCCACCTTTGCGCGACCCATCCACGCACACCTGCTTCGGCGGGCCGAGCCTCCGCCGCCGCGGCCGCAGCCGCGGCCGCCGATGCCGGCGGCGAGCAGCCGCGCCGGCGAAGGCCAGCGGCGTCGCGCAGTAGCGCCCGTTGACCACCGAGTCGCCCATCGCCCTCCGGAGCGCCGCGTGGATCTGCGCGCGCTTCTGCTGCGCCGGCTCCCAGGCCTTCTCGCGCATCTGGTGATCGCGCTGCAGCACCCTGTTCCGAGGCGGACACGCCGCCCTAATCCCGCCCCCGCCCGATCTCTGTCTGCCCGATCTCGAGGTAGGACTTTGCCGGCGCCTGGCTCTCCTCGAGCTTCCAGAATGCCGCCTGGGAAAATTCAACCGCATCGCCTGGTGATCGGCTCAGCGGCTTGCCCCCCCAGGCACGCGTCGGCATCCCGAGTGCGAGCCGCTCGCCGCGGACGCGCCAGCGCAGCCGCCTTCGCGCGAGGCTCTCTCGGCCTCCGCGACCAGCTGGGGCGCGCCCTTGGCGCGCGCCTGGATGTCATCGCCCGAGTTCATCAGGGCGGCGAACTTCCCCGCGCTCGTCGCTCATCAGAAGTGCAGCAGCGCCTGCACGCCCAGCGGAACGCCTTCCTTCGCGAGGGGGAAGCGCAGGGCCAACTTCTGCAGCGCGAGCGAACTCCCCTCCTCATCCTGCGCGGGCCGAGCGCCCTCGGCGGCGCGCCATCGAGACGCCCCCCGCACCGCGTCGCGCAGGCAACGCTGAGGGCCAACTGGGGCCGCGCCACAGAACCCACGCGGGCCTCAATCCAAACCGCGCGAGCTAAACGGTGGCGGACCGAGCAACGCCCTGGCCCCGCAGAGCGATGGCGGCCTGCAGCGCGGCCCCGAAGCCCTCCCCGCCTGCCACGGGACCCATCCCAACGCGATTGCGCCCACTCCCGCCAGGGCCCCCCCCGCCCGCGGCGGACGGGGGGACCCGCGGGCGGGGCGGGCACTGTCGACGCGGGCGGGCGCCAACCAGTCGGCGGAGGTTCGGGGCAGCGCAACCCCGAGGGCGCGCGGAATGGCAGACCACGCCATACATTCGCAGGCCCGGCACATCGTCGAGGTAGGTCGAGTTCAGCGGCGACCTGCCGTTCGCCCAGCCACAGCCCCCAACCGCGCGGAGCCTGGCCACATTGCGCATCCTCGTGCGCACGATGAGGTAGCTGAGCGCCCCCCTCATCGTGGCGTTTCCCAGGACGACCTCCAGGACCACCTACAGGAGCCGCAGGCAGAGCCCACTGGACAGCACAGTGGGAACTGGAAGCCCACGCAGCAAGAGGCAAGCCTTCTGCGCGCCATCATCGCTGGAGGAATGTGGACCCCCTTTATCGGCTCAAGCAAGTTCCCTCGAACTCGGCCTCCGCCGCCTGCAGCACGAGACGCGAGCCGATGAGATCGTACTCATGTAGCACATTGCTGACCCGCCGTCACTCGGCGACGAGGGCGCACGGCCCAAGGGCCAGCACCTGCGCCCAACGGTTGTTCAAAATCGGTCGAACGCCTGAGCCCAAATGGACACAAGAATCGGGCAGAGCGAGAGGATTCACATTTGTGTTGGCACACGGGGGCAGAACAAATCAAAAGTACAGCCCGTGCAGGAAAGAACACATCCGCTCGCGCATACCTCATTGGCTTTACGAGTCCGCATGGCTCCGAGTGGAGTAGCCATACTTCTAAAGTAATGAAATCAGACAGGTCTGATTTCGATACCCATCCTCAAGGCCTCCAAACGTTCTAGGAGGCCCCCTGACGCAGTAACAGACGCCTCCCTAGCACGGTCCCAAACCGCCCGTGGACGGCCTCAAGACATCTCAGGGTTGCCCTCAAGGACACCACAACACTCGAGTGCCACGAGACCCCTCTGGGGCATCACAAATCTATCCCACGACACGGCACGGCACGACACGGCACCCACGGAACTGCGCGCTGAGCTCACCGGTCCCGGGGCACAGCACGGCACGGCATGGGCGACCCACAAGTGTCCGGCACGACGCGGGCGACCCACTGAGCTACTAATTTTGAACGTCGGTCCTGAGGTATCGCGCGGGCTGCCCACGGAATCACCATCTGGAAGCATCGACCCAATTCGAAGAACCCTTAGCCTCCGCTGTACGCGGACGAGAAATAGTGCCGCGGTGACGAGCTGGCCCAACGCGTCACTCCGATCTGCGGCTGGCTTGGAAGATCGTGTCCGTGGGATGGGGCAGGCAGGCGATGAGAGGGGCAACCAAGGCTTTACAAGCTGACTCCCCCGTCAGATCGGAGCCCACTCTCAGTCCATAGCACACGACAGCGGCAAGGCGCTGGCAGGCCTGCTTACGGGGGGGGGCTCATCCTCCTCCTTCTCATCAGCATCATCATCAGCATCATCGTCATCATCATCAACATCAACATCAGCATCAACAGTATCATTATCATCGGCTAGTCGGATTACCCCTCGTCCTCATCCGCCTCCTCCTCCTCCTCCTCCACCTCCGCCTCCTCGCACCTTCCTCCCCCTCCTCATCCTTCCCATGCTTCTCCTGGCAGGCCCTTTCTTCCAGATAGAAAGGGAGAAGGAGAGAGAGATAGAGAGAGAGAGAGAAAATAACAAACAACAAAACAAAAAAAAAAAAAAAAAAAAAAACGCGAGAGAGAGAGAGAGACAGGGAGACAGGAAGAGAGAGAGAGAGAGAGAGAGAGAGCGAGCCGTGCACGCCCAGCGTGCGTTAGCAATGGAAAAGGCGCATTGGTCATGGAAAGGTGCACGGTCTTGCAAGGGGGGGGCGCAGGACAAGGTGCAGAAGGGCTCCCAGGTGCCCTCCAGAGGACCGGGAGGAGGAGGAGGACCGGGAGGAGGAGGAGGAGGAGGAGGAGGGAGAGGAGGAGGAGAGGAGGAGAGGAGGAGGAGGAGGAGGAGGAGGAGGCGGAGGAGGAGGAGGATGAGGAGGAGGAGGAGGAGGAGGAGGGAGGAGGAGGAGGAGGAGGAGAGGAGGAGGAGGAGGAGGAGGAGGAGGAGGAGGAGGAGGGAGGAGGAGGAGGAGGGGGGGGGGGGGGGAGGAGGGGAGGAGGAGGAGAGAGGAGGAGGAGGAGGAGGAGGAGGGAGGAGGAGGAGGAGGAGGAGGAGGAGGAGGAGGAGGAGGAGGAGGAGGAGGAGGAGGAGGAGGAGGAGGAGAGAGGAGGAGGAGGAGGAGGAGGAGGAGGAGGAGGAGGAGGAGGAGGAGGAGGAGGAGGTGGAGCGGAGCCGGAGGCAGAAGGCGGCAGCCCCGGCGACAACCTATGAGCGAGCCAGAGGCCCAGGGCGAGCGCTGGCCCCTGCAGCAGGGGGACCCCTCCTGGGCCTGCCGTTGGCACGACGGGCTGCCAAAAAAAGAGAAAGTTCGTCGTCGTGAACGGAGCAGGATCGAGGGTCGAGGCCTTCCGACGCCTTCACGGTGAGCTCAGGGGCGCCCGAGGGGGCAGGAGGAGTCGCGACGGTTCTGCAGGGGGGGGTAAGGGGCACGGAACTGCGACACCGCCACCACGTCGTGGGGCAGGTGAGGCCCTCGCGCTGATGCGGTCTCGGCGTCCCGCTCGGGACATCTCAGATCTCCAGCTCGACGCTGAACCTAAACGGTGCTTTTCGTTTTCGTTGTGCTTTCGTCTTCCCTCGCTGTCGTCTTCGCTTCGAGGGGCACCGTGCCGTGCAGCCCCGGCGTCCTCTGGGCGCGCCCGCTCCTGGCCGCCCCGACCCCGGGCGCCCCGAAATTCCCGGGGCACGAGGCGCGCGCCGCCTCCTGGCGAGGCCAAGCTCCTGGCGCGCCAAGCCCGGCCAGCCCGATGGCCAGCCCGATGGCCCGATTGCTCAGTGTCAGATCTGCTCATGCTCGGCCTCGCTCGTACTCATGTTCGCTTTCATTCACGCTCGCTCATAGCACTCGCACTCGTGTTCTCCCATACTCAGGTGCATCCGCGTTGAAGCAGGTATAACACTCGAGCATCCCGAGGGGGAACCACCATATGGTATTTCACGGGCCCTTTCGCGCCCATATTGGGGCGACTTCCCAGGCGGAACGCTGGTTCTGTCAAACTAGAGGATTATGTTGCCTGCGCGACAGGAGCACCGCAACGTGACGCGCATTGCACATGGGTATCCCAAGGGGAAAACGACAGGGTGCATTACACAGGCCCGTTCGCGTTCACATTGCGGGGGAACTCCGGCGGAGCGTTTGTTTTGGCCCAGTAGGCGACCCTCTCTTTCGCACTGTTGCACAGCAAGGGCGTCCTAAAGTGGGAGCCGCCAGAGGTCTCCTCCTCCTCTTCTTCTACATCCCTACCCGTTTCGGGGTCGAATCGCCCCCACTGCGGAAATCATGGTTTAAGTGTCCGTGCCTTCTCTGCGCTTCGCGCTTTCTCTCTCTCTCTCTCTCTCTCTAGATTGCCCTCTCCCCCTCGTTTTCTCTCTCTCTCTCTCTATCTCTCTCTCGCTCTATCTCTCTCTCTGTCCTGTCACTCTCTTTCTCTCGCGCGCTCTCCATCTCTATGTATATATATCTCTCTCTCTATATATATGTATGTCTCTCTCTCTCTCTCTCGCTCTTTCCCTCTTCATGTAGATGTGTGTATATATATGTATCGCTCTGTTCAGCTTTGTTCAGGTGCTATGATGACCCCGTTGAGGGGAACAGCTCCCGACGCCACTCGACCGACTATGCACTGCTTTGCACAACTTTCGAAAAAAGGCGACCAAGGCGTTCAGCGCAACGTGCGTGACAGCAACAGCAGCGGCAGGAAGAGGAAGCAGACGTTCTCTCGCTCGCTCTCTCTCTCTCTCTCTCTCGCTCTCACTCTCCGCCTCCATCTGCCTCTATCTCCCTGGCTGGACGAGTGCGGCGGCCCCAGGAGTTCGTCAGAAGGTCGTCTCGGATTCGGTTATTCGGAGAAGCCCTCTAGCGCGACACAAGTCCCAGTGCAGTGCTGCTTGGCGGGTCGGGTGAGGAGGGGGTGCAACACAAAAAGTGGTCTAAGAATTGTCGAACCAGTTGTTGTTGCTGCCCCCCCACCAAAGAACGATCACGACGACGACTACGACGACGACGACGACGACGACGACGACGACGACGACGGCGACTGGGAAATTGAGTGCAAAGCCAGACAATTCCGCAAGCTCCACCAAAAAAAACCTCTGGGGTCCATGCTATTGGGGTCCGCGCCATGGGGGGGCTTACTAAAGACACCATCCACAAGGAGGCCTTACGACAAGCATCCTTACTAAGGATCTCTCACTAATGGCATCCTTACCAAGGACCACCAACAAGGAAGCATGCGGAGTGGCTCCTTACTTGCCTTACGAAAGAAAGCATTTGCAACTAACCGTGTTTACAAGCAGTCGTACTGAGGGAATCCTTACTAAAGACATCTTGACCTTGCTCGGGACCTCGGACACAAGGCATACATAGTAAGAACCCGTACTAAAAAAAGTACTAAAAGTGAGTCCGCATTGCAGAGGGGGGGTCCTTACTGAGGAGATCCTTACTAAAGGCATTCCCATTGAGGAGGCCTCACTAAAAGCATCCGTACCCGAAGTCTCCGTTCATAAAGGTATCCTTGCTCAGGAACCTGCAAGTTTCTTAAGGAGCCATTACTGCATGAAGTAGCAATATGGGATCATTACTATTGGGGTCTTTCCCGAGAGGACACTTACCAAAATAATCCTCCCTACGGAGGCCTTGCCAAAAGCGTTAGTACGACGTGTCCAGTACTAAAGGCGCTCGACCTAAGGGGACCCCTACTGAAAGAAGCTGGAGAAATTGATCTTACTACAGGGATCCTTACTGAGGGGATCCTTATTCAAGGCAACCCCTACCTTACCCATGACCTCTTACAGAAGGAATGCATAGTAAGGAACCCGTACTAAAGGAAGTCATACGAAGGAGTCCTTACTACGGGGGGGTCTTTACTGAGGGGATCCTTACTAAAGGCATCCCCACTGAGGAGGCCTCACTGAAAGCATTCATACTAAGGATCCCTTACGAATGGTATTCTTGCTCGGGAGCCTGCATCCTTCGTATGAAGCCTTTGCTGAATGAAGTAACAATAAAGGATCATTACTACGAGGGTCCTTCCCGAGAGGACAGTTACCAAAGGAATCCTCTCTACGGAGGCCTTACGAAAAGCGTGAGTACGACGGGTCCCGTACTAAAGGCACTAGTCCCAAGGAGCCCTTACTACAAGAAGCAGGATCCATGAATCCTTACGACAGGGATCCTCAGTGAGGGGATCCGTACTACAGGCATCCTTAACGAGGACCCCTCACTGAAGAGATCCTGACTAAAGACTCCCCATTAAAGGGGTCCTTACTAACGAACGCGTGCTAAAGGCATCCTCATTCAGAATCCTCTAATACAGGGAAGCTGACTCAATCATCGAATAAAATCACGGGTCGGCAGGTATAGAGTTGCGAAATACTGGGGGGCCCAGAAGTGGATAGCGCGTCTCCCCCAAGCGTGGTGGGCCAGAACCAGCCGAGCGACACGCTATGCCAAAGTTCGCGACCGTAGCTGAACAGCAAGAGCTTGTTCGCCTCGTGCCCGAAGCGCATAGCGGGTACAGTGCCCTAAGGAATTGCCCCCAGACCCCCCACGTCATCACTTGCTCACAACGTCGGCCCCCAGAGGCCTCGACCAATTCCCCGGGACCGATTTGTCATCCTGGGCCGCTTTTTGACGGTCCCGAGGCCCGGCCAGGGCCACCAAGAGGCCGCAAAGAGCAAGAACAAAAAAAAAAAACATCCCGCCGTCCCTTTGCCATGATCCGAGGTCCGGATGAAGTGCCACTTGGGGGGTCTGGGCGGGGAGGAGGAGGCGGAGGAGGAGGAGGAGGAGGAGAAAGAAGAGAAAGAAGAGAAAGAAGAGAAAGAGGAGGAGGAGGAGGAGGAGGAGGAGGAGGAGGCGGGAACGGCCGTCGAGGACCAGCCCGGCCGCCTCCCTCCCGGTCGGGGGGGCGGCCTGCAGGCGGCGAGGCGCGCCGCGCCGGGGCGCGGGCCGCGGGGGCGCGGCTGCGGGCGCCAGAAGGCGTCAGATCCTCGGCCCCAGCCCGCCCCCCTTGCGTTAAGTCGAGCGCGTCCCCCTACAGGGGAATTTTCGACGAAAAATCAAAAATTGCCAAGAAAAACTCAAAAGATGCCAAAAATACTCAAAAAAATAGTCCCCTGAGCATTTTTTTACCATTTGGGAATTTTCCTCCTGTAGAGGGACAGGCCCGACTTAACCCTTGCGCCCGCTTCGACGGGCGCCCCTTTGGAGGAGGCAGGGGAGGGGGGAGGGGGGGGGAGTGGGGGGGGCCGCACGCCGGGGAGACGAAGAGGCAGGGGGGCGGAGAGGCAGGAGCGGAGGGGGGCGAAGGAGGGAGGAGGCGGGGGCGAGGAGAGGGAGGAGGGGAGAGGGGGCGGAGAGGCACTCGGGAGCGGAGGGGGCGGAAAGGTGAGGGGGCGGAAGGGGGCGGAAAGGGGAGGGAGGTGGGGGCGAAGAAAGGAGCGAGGGCGGGGGGCGGAGAGGCAAGAGGCGGGAGGGGAAAGGGGCGCCGCCTGGGCCCCGTCCCGCCCCCTGCCCCGACGCGAGAGGCGCCTCCCCCGGGGGCGCAGGGGGGGTCCACTCGGGGGGAGGGGGTCCATACGGCTGTTGAACAAGATTGGTCGTGTGTACCATCTCTGTCTCCGCGGCTGTGCACATGTGTGCACATATCTACACACACGCACTAGAACCACGCGCGCGCTACGCGCGCTGAGGTTCTAGTCAGCTCCGAAGACCTCCTCCTCCTCCTCCTCCTCCTCCTCCTCCTCCTCCTCCACCTCCTTGTCCTCCTCCTCATCATCATGAACGAAATCCACATCCACTCCACAGCAGGCACGCAATACCGGCGTCGACGTCGTCGTCGGCGTCGTCGAGGTCGCGGGAGGCGGAGGGAAAGAAGGGAGAGGAGGAGAGGGGAGGGGAGGAAGGAAGGAGGTAGGGAAGAACGGAAGCAGACAGGCAGGACAGGCAAAAAGGGAGGGGACGGGAAATGGAGCGAGGGATGGGTCGGCGGATGAGCAAGGATTCATCATCCTTCCTTTTCCTCCGGCTCTTTTAAGTTTTTTCCCCTGCCGGCCTGTGTTGGGCTCTCGTTGTGAATAGGGCACTGTGGTCGAGTCTCCTCCCCTCCTCCATATTCCTCCTCTCTCCTGCCTACTGTAGCATCTCTCCTGCTCTCTGCTTATCTCGTGGGTACTTGGGAGGTCCAGCGGAGTGCAGTGGTACGCGGACCCCGTCGAAATCTCGCGGCTTCCTGGATGGATGCAAAATGTGAAACTATCGCCACTTTCGTGGGTTCCTGGGAGGTCCCGCAGAGTGGAGTGGTACGCGCGCCCCGTCGAAATCTCGCGGTTTCCTGGAGGGACGCAAAGTGTGAAACTATCGCCCCTGTGCGCGGGCACTTGGGGCCGGCCTGGTTGAGCTGGAAGGTTACTTGAGCCAGGGGCGAGGCTAATGAAGGGACCCCCCTTTTTGATCGATGTCCTCCAAGATGGCCCCAAGAAGCGCTATGGAGGCCCCGAGAGGCCCCAAGATGGCTCCAAGATGGCCCCAAAGAGGCCCCCAAGAGGACCCCAAGCGGCCCCAAGAGGCCCCACCGAGGCACCCAAGACGCCCAAGAGCCCCCCAAGATCGCAAAGAGACCCCCAGGACGTCCCAAGAGGCCTCAAAGAAGCGCCCAAGCGATGTCCCAAGAGGCTCCGAGAGGTGTCCAAGAGACCTCAGGCCCTTTTGCTTCCCCTCCTCCTCCTGCTCCCCCTTCCTCCTCTTACTCCTTCTGTTCCTCCTCCTCATCATCATCCTATTCATCTTCCTTCTCCCCACTCCCTCGTCCATCCATCCAGCCTTTTCCTTCTCCTCCTCCCTCCTTCGCACGGTTCGGCCGTCCCCCTTGCTCCCGCACATCCCTGATCACCGCAACTCGCCTGGACATCGTTTCTGGATGGGCTGGCGGGGATACGCGAAACGTCTAGAATTCTGCTGGTGGTCCTCGAAGCCCTGACTGTGGCCCTCGTAGCTCAGCACGTGGTCCTGGTAGCTGGGCCCGTGGCCCTCCTAGCTCTGCTGGTGGCTCTCGTGGCTCCGCGGGCGGCCCTCGCAGCTCAGCCCGCGGCCCTCGTGGCTCAGCCTGTGGCTCTCGTAGCTCAGCTTGCGGCCCTCGTACCTCACCTGGTGGCTCTCGACGCTGCGCTCGTGGCCCTCGCATTTCAGGTAGCTCTGCGGGGAGCTCTCGAAGCTCCGCATGTGGCTCTCGTAGCTCCGGTCGTGGCCCTCGCAGCTCTGCCGGTGGCCCTCGTAGCTCAGCTGGTGGTCGTTACTCCTGTCGGTCGTCCTCGTAGCCCTGCTCGTGGCCCTCGTAGCTCAGCGCGTGGTCCTGGCAGCTCAGTCCGTGGCCCTCGTAGCTTTGCCAGCTCATCTGGCGGCCCTCGCAGCTCCGCTGGTGGCCATCGTAGCCAGTAGGTGCGGCTCGCGATGGCACGGCGCCTGGCGAAAGAGGCCTCGCGCGCCAGAGCGGCCGTCGCGAAGGCGTCAGGCTCTTCCTTCAAGCCGTGGTCCTTGTAGTCCTCTTCCTAGTCTACGTACCTTATTGGTCTCCGCCTCGTCTGCCTCATTCGCCTCCCCGCGGTCCAAGTCGGGGTCGCTGGGTGCCAGATTGTACTGCTCCACCCTCCACTTGCCACGAGGAGTGGCCGCACTGGTCATACTGGTCGTGCTCGCTGCTGCAAGTGCCAGACTGCAAGACGTATTGGTCCAGGACCGGCACTTCGATGACGATGTACTTAGCCTCTGGCGCAAGAGGCTCTGAAGGCGGCATAGGAGTCCCTGGTATTCCACCACTGGTGCCTAAGTGTATGGCTTCGTTCGTATCAGTGCCTTTCACCGTCGTAGGATCATCATTCCTGGCGCACTTGGTGTCGCATTTGCCAGACCGCACCCACGCCTCGCAAGCACTGCGACGCCGTTGACGGGCGAAACGGCGTGCAGACCAGCGCCGTTGA